GTGTAAAGAATACATATGTTTTTCTTAGGAATATAAAATAGGGATTGTTTTTTCCAGTGTGTGGAAATAGAATTTATTGTGTGAACATCATATAGTTTAATTCTCTATTATTAATATCTGTATATTTTAATAATGTTACTAAACAAACGTCCGTACATATAGGATCATTAAAATGTTTAAAAGAACCACAAACTGTTTTGATTTTAAGATATAAGTACTTTGAAGTACTTTAATTATTGGGTACCACTGCCTAATAAAGAACCTTTTTATTTAAAAAAAATGGGTTTTTTAAAGGTTTTTCTATAGTTTGTAAACATTTTATAATGTGATAACAATCAGTTATAAACAGCTGTAAAACACTGTACTTTGAAGCAGGCTCATTATTTGGCACAAAGTGATTTACTTGTAACCAATCAGGTGTAAATAATTTATCGCTAGTTCAGTTTTTAACTTTAATGAATAATGCTTTATAAAGTGTTTATAACATCATGAATAACCCATTTATTAAGCATTATTAAATCCTTTATAAATGKACCTTGCTGGAAAGTGGTGCCACTGTTTTAAACTGAACATTATGTTTAATTATCTTTATGAACCATATATTAATCTGCATCTCTGTTGAGTTTGGATGAACATGAAGTTTCTGCAGGACGTTTGCAGACTGTTCATGTGTCACTCAGCACAAAGAGTGTGGCAGAGCTACTCTCTGTCTAATAAAGAGCAGGGAAAGCACTAACTGCTTCCTAAAGCCCCGGCATTGATTGAAGTGGGAAAGACAGGGTCTGCGCTGAGCGAGGTGAGAGAGAACACCAGAGTGATTGATTCATCGAAGCACCACCGACGCTGCTCAATATCATCAGCCGTGTCTAACAGGCGAGAGAAAACAAAACAAGGAAGCACATGTCAGGCAGACAGATGAGAGCTGCGAGCGAGGCGGCGGCACGGGAAGGTGTTTGTTTCAGAGATAAGAGCACCCGGGGCGGACCCGGCCAGCGAGACGGGCCGGCTCAGGCATGGATACATCGTATGTCTCCGTTCACATCTGTCACACAACCGACCGTCTGTCCCCTCAGCTGACATTCACAAGTTTAAACGTAGAAACATTTAAAATTTGGTTTGGTATTTGGAGTCACAGTTTTCAGTTCAGTTTTTATTTTTTCCTTTTTTTTTTTCTTTTTGTCCAGAAACCTCATGCATCAGTAGAAGGYTGTCCATCATGTAGAAACTGAAACAACAAGGCTGTTTGGCATCATTGTTACAGTCTTTGGTTAAAACAGCAAGCAGACATTATTTCAAACTTTATTTCATTTGGTTAAAAAACACTTAAAACGTATCTGTAGTAAAGTTCAGAAATTAAAGTTTACTGTCAAATGTTAACAGAATAAGTTAACATTAAAATACACTTACTGCCTGTTTTTACATTTTGTAAATCTTGAGCAAAAGTCCTAAATTTATAGGCTACTTTGCCAAAATGGCGTCAGGGTTAGAGTTACTTCATTGCAGTAATTAAGTAAATTTTTTTRAGAATCTGTATTTTTATCCTTACTTTTATTTTTGTTACAATGAAAACAAAAAATGATACTTTTACTTCTTTACTTTAAATTTTAACACTTAATTACATGTTACAAATTTAAATATGACAAACTCATCATGAAAAAGTTGTTTCTGTGCTCTAAAAATGAAGTGTTGAACTTACTTAACCAAGTTACAGTATGTCCATATGTCCACTGTAAATGTAAAGTAAAGCAATTTACACATTTTTTTAATGAAAACTGCTAAATTTACTCATATCCGCACTTCATTTCTAAGTGTGTAAAAGTATTTTTACTTTACAGATTATTGTGAGTAGTTTTCTGACTTTGACTCAAGAACTTTTCTTATAAGTGAAATAAAATTTTACCAGTCATTTTCTGTTAAGGTATTTTTACTTTTACAATTTTTTTGTAAATACTTCATTAAGTACTTTATATACCTCTGCAATCAAGTAACTATGTTACCTTCAGTTGTTGTGAAAAAGCTGCATATATAAGCTAAAGGGACGTTGCATCGTATCTTACCTCAAATAAACACCGTGAAATTGGCCTTTGTCTTTTTAAGAACCTCCTACCATTTCAGACACTCCCACTTCAGCTCGTCTTCACAACGGTGCTTCGGAGGAGGGCTGCTCTGTGGGGTGGGAGCTCGGCTGCAGACTGAACTCCAGGGAGGAGCTTTGTACAATAGGCGGAGCTTTGTAGCAGCAAGTGTTTAGGCAGCTCCACAGGAGATTCAAGGATTTGTCAAACATGATGAATGAGTCAAAGCAACACTCTGTGTCTTTGAAGAAGAAATGACATGATATAAAGCTCAAACTGTAGATATTGCACAATAACCTTCCTTTAAAATCATTTTATCACCTTGAATCATTGGAAGAGAAAGAGAGAAACCAGTAATGGCAGTTTTTATATACTACCTCTGTTAGTACTGTGTGTGTAGTCTGGATCATCAATAGAAATCTCAGTGTGTTTTTATATGGTTTGTTTTCTCATCTTGTGAGTTTTACTGACTAATCTCCATCATTACACATGCAGTTAGTGGCAGCGGTGCTTTTGTGGCGTCTGACAGGTTTGATGACAGATCATGTGAGCATTGTTTCTCTTGGTGTGAGATATTCCCTCGAGGAATCAGAATTGTGGAATTTTGAACTCACCACTGGTGAAGACGATGATTGTTGACAATGACTTGGTTGTTCATCACACAGTCTTCATTATGCTGCTGTAGCTCAGAGTGAACAGACTTTGATCTGCAGTTTTCACTGAACTGAGTTGTGTTGAAAATTAGACCCCGTTGGGGATCACACTGAGCTCCAGAACTGCTTGTTCTTTTCAAACTCTTTGCATGCAGCAGTTGGGTTGTGCTGCAGAATGACTGTTCTGCAACAAAATGTCTTCTTCCACACATAAAACTTGGATGTTTTCATGCAGGACTGAGCTGAAGTGAAACAAACATCCTCTGTGTTGATCTGACTGTTCAGGTCAGCACTGCTTCCGCCAATCATGAACTAAGAGAGGTTACTTACATTTACCCAAATCAGAAACAATGGGCCTCATGCAAGAACATGTTCGTATTCTTATCCTAAATTTCTCTAACTTTTGTTCGTACGAAGGG